AATACTTACACAAATGAAAAAATAACTTTCCCTGATACATTTGTCCTTTAGCGCTGATTCAAGCTAAAAGTGTTGGATTGCACCAGCGTTCAGCAGTGAAGCTCTGCTGGCTCGGATACAGCAGCTCTTTCTTTCTCCTCTCTGCTGGCTGCTTCCTCCCACCTCCCAATCTCATCACAGATTTTTACTTTAATTACACATAATTGGTTTTCCGCACCAAAAATCATTCACGCGGATAATCTCTCATTTGTCTCAGTGAGAAAAATGAATGTTAGATTACACAGATTTGCACTTTAATGGAGCTTGGCGTACTTTGCAGCACACACACACACACACACACACACACACACACACACACACACTCGCCTCGCTCAGGCGGATGCGTGCAAAATGTTTTAGTGTTTTCAAATGACTCCAAACTAATCCCATTTCCAATCAATCACAATTTGAGGCAACACGAGTGATAACATAAAGGGGAGAATGTTTAGAAATGTGTCAGAAAAGCAGTGACTTGACGGAGAAAAAACAAACTGTTTCTGAGAGTCTGGAAAGACTAAAACTACACACAGAAGTTGGACAATTGAACCGTAATGTCACACTGAATACAAAACTTAATTAATACATACACCTTCCTCTAATTATCAGTCGTTATCATACGTTTGAGTTCTCATGAATGCACATTAATTAGCAGTAAAACCATTAAGAGCTCTGTGCTTTTTAGGTTGAGACTCCAACTGAAGCAAGTTGCTAATTATTCAGTCGATGGAATATTTATTGTCAGCAAGTTTTATAATTGATTACTTATGTAGAGTCGACCTCAAATGTATTCATACCCGCCCATTAAAGAAGGAAAAGAACAGCTGTCACTGAAATAAGCTGAAACTGACAGAAGTAATGATAAATAAAAATTTAATGAAAATCATGATGTTGCTTTTGAATTGTGGTTCAACAGAAATATTAAAAACAAAAACAAAAAAACAAGCAAACAAGCATGATGGGACCCGTAAACTACCCTTTGAACAACCCTTTGAGCCGATCACTACAATCAAGTGTTTTCTGTCATTTCAATCAGACGTCTGCACCTGTTGACAGGTATTCTGATTTTGGCCCACTGCTCATCAACAAAGTGCTCTGATTTGTCCGGCAGAGTTTTGTTTGTTTGTTTTTAATTATTCTTGTCAACTACAATTCAAAAGCAACGTCTTTTTTCACTAAATTATAATTTAGGAGATTTTTATTTATTAGTACTTTTTTCCGTTTCTACTGATTTGAGTGACTATTGTGAGTTTTGCCTTTTCTTTAATGGAAGGGGATGAATACGTTTGAGGACGACTGTAAGTCTTTGTTTTTATGCAAAAGTTTTGAGAAATGTTCGGGTTCCAGTTGCACGTTCTTAAGTGAAGTATGTTTGTCATCAATTCTTTCCCTTAGTTTCACATATTTTATCAACCAAACGGTTAATTACTAGCCTGAGAAATGTATCAGTTAATCCCACTGGAAAATAGTGATTACTTACATTATTTACTGTAATTACTTATCAGCTAAAGCCCTGATGAGACGTTTAGATGGAATCTGCAGAACACTGATCCTCTACACGCCCCTTTCAGTTGTAAATCATTTTCTGGTTTAAATAATTTGCAAAGTCAAATTTGTATGTTCTGTTTTAATTTTGCTTTTTTTTCAAGCTCAGAAATGAAAGAACCATAAAGTGAAAGCTCGGTTCTCCTAAACGGTTGGTTGAACTGATTTTAAATTGACTCGATTGCTGCTCCTGCTTTATGTTCTCCTTCCCTTTAAAGGTAAAAATGAAGCAGAAACACTCTGGAGCAGCCAGTTTTTTATGTTTTATA